CCTTTGGTAACCCAAAAGTGAAGAGAGTTACGGAGGTTGCCATTGTGAAATCGTAAACATGCAAAAGCAAATATCGAGCGTAACCTGGGTTCTAAACTAAATAAACTATTTGACATATCTGCTTGTTGCTGTTTATTAAGCATTGTGTCATGTAAAAATGTTTAGGTTAATTGAAAAAAAGATAAATGCACAATGGAACAAATAGTTTGTGTATACCCTAGAAGAAAAGGCAAATAGCAAAGGCGCCTATCAAAAAAAGGGTTTAGATACGAGACGATTGTTTAAAAACCAGGTTAAAGGGACTATTATAGATGACTTCGGTAGATATACCTGCTATACACAGTAACAAGATTTAAGTAAGAAGAAAGGAAATATTTTCATCACAAACATAATAGTAATGAGCTCTAAAGCTTATTACTAGATCCCCTAGAATGTATAGCTGAAGTAATAAAACCTCAAGGTATTTTTGTTTGCGTGACTTTAAACTTTTAATTTATGGTATATATTTAACACTTATTTATTTTAAATTTGCTTATCTTTAATATTTTACATTTTACCTATAGAACATGATGAATGGTAACCAAGTAAGAGAACTCTAGCAGATCATAGAATTTAAAAGTTTCCAAGACATGCTTTGGAGTTGGTCAAAGATATTCTTCAAATCTCGGTATAGCTCTTGAAAACCTTCAACATGATATCAAGCATCTATTTTTAACGGCAGTTGACATTCGTAACATTCTGGTGGATAAGTGTAAATTACACAGAGCTAAGTCAAATATAAAAGTAATTTCAGAAAATGCAGATTCAGAAGTGAAGACTTAATTAGTTTTCATTGGTTTAGATGGAAAGACAGATAAAAACACAAAAATGTGTTCAAAAACAATTAATTCTGAAAAATATTTCATAACAAAATTTGTTGCTGCTGATCATGACCTTACTTTCACACATGATAATGGTAAATATTATTGAATTTAATTGACCTACAGAATAATATCTGTTACCGGGGATGTTATCCCAGCAAACATTTGGTCTGAAAAAGACGTTTTCAATGTGTCTTTAAAACGTATTACACGTTTTTAATATGTATTAAAGACGTCTATTTTAGACCAAATGTTTGCTGGGATTGTTCATAGGAAATTTAGTGTACTTAAATAGCATAAAAGCTTGAAGAGCATCTGTGCTATTCTTTTAGACAATACTGCATCAAACACAAGTTGGATGAGTGTTTATTCTAGAAGAGATATCAGTAGAAATACTTCACACAGTTGTAACCCCTTTAAAAAAGTTGGATAGAAAAATAACCGGTCAATTAAAATTTAGTAAACCGATCACGAATATACGCTCGGAAGAAACTCATATTCAACCTCAATTATAGTTTAAAGTTATTAGTTAGTTAATTATTAGTTTCTGAAGCTTCATATTTTGTATATAGATTTTAAGCCAGACATAAATCTATTCTAACAAAATTATTTAGCCAAAAAATGTAGCAAAGGTTTACCAAAAGAATGTTATTCTTAGTCATTTGATGATTTATTTGCTTTGCTCTTTTGTTAAATTCTTGAAATTTATATTGAAAATTTATATATTTTATATTTAATTGAAATTTAGATTTATATTGCTTTTTAAATACCAACTTTATGCTGTTAAAAAAAAAAAAATAATAAATAGAATAAAAAAATGTTAAAAGTTGAACTAAACATTCATCAGCAACCTGCTAGGTAGCTTTGGTTAATTAGCTACCCTGTGTAATGTTTGAGATAATTGGAAAAGATGAATTAAAAATTGAGGACTGGCTGATTATTGGCACACGCAACCATTAAATAGACCACTTCTTAACTTTGCAAATAGTATTTTTTATTTAAATGAATATACTGAGAGTGCAAATAAGATGGTGCAAAAATTTGTTTACTGCCACAGAGATAAGTAAAAAAAAACAACTATTGCTGTAGACAAAGTTTGTTCAATTCTTAAGGCATCAGACAACAAACCATTGTCAACCAAGAAAATAAATAAGCAAGAAAAGACTCATATATGGATTAATTAGTATACACTAAAAATACAGAAGATAAATTGAACTTTCGTATTTAAAATTCAAAACATCAAAATGAAAAAGCATAGGAATGCTGCAAGTGCAATCTTTTCTTTTATTTCTCTTGTTTTTTTCTTCTCCTTTTTTTTGAAAAATCTGTATGTTATAAAGATAAGCAAAACTAGTAAACAAATGCTTATGTAAATACGCTCTAGAAGATATATCTACTATATATGTGTATATATATATATATATATATATATATATATATATATATATATATATATATATATATATATATATATATATATATATATATTAATATATATAGGCCTCGGCAGGAAGCGAGAGCTAAAGCTCTTGCTCTCGCCCATACTCTTCTAAAACAGTTTACGGAGCAATTACGGCTCCCGAAAAAAGATACTTTTTCTCACGAAAGTATAATTATTGTTGTAACAAAAATAAAAACCAAAATGTCATTAAAAAAAATTAATTGCATAATATACTAATGCTTTTAAAAAGGCACGGTTGTTGCAAAAAAAAATTATAATTAAAAAAACGAGCACTAATTTAAATGAGCTGCTTGCACAGCTCTCCAAGTTCATTTTAGGAGAGCTTTTCTCAGCTCTCGTGCTCATATATTCCCGCCGAGTCCTATAAAATATAATATATATATAAGTCCTATAAAAGTCCTTGTTAAATATCTAGGGATGTTAGTAAAGTTTTGATTATGGAAAAATATATATATGTATATATATATATATATATATATATATATATATATATATATATATATATATATATATATATATATATATATATATATATATATATATATATATATATATATATATATATATATATATATATATATATATATATATATATATATATATATATATATATATATATATATATATATATATATATGTATTCTCAATTTATTCATATGCAAAACTAATAAATTTTTATTTTATTTTTATTTTTTATAGGCAGCTAAAAGAGACCTACTGTTGACACCCAAACATATTTATCTTATTGGTAGAGAAAAGGTATTTTTGTATCAACATAGTAAGGCTTGATTTTTTGAATACAGAAAATAAGTTTTGTTTTAAATATCTAATGTTTAAAACAACTGCATATTTTTTGTTTAAGTCAAATTTACATTACATATATATGCTTGAGTGTAGTTTTTTACATTTTTCAGAATAATAAAATGTTTTTCAAATGATTATTTTGTAAAAAAAATGTTATAAATTATCTTTTGCTTCTAGAGCTAAAAGTTGTTCAAAAAAAACTTTAAATAAATTTTTTAATTTTCATAGCTCATACTGCACTCACAAATTTTCACAACAATAATAAATTTTATTATAATGTGAAAAAGTATTATTTGAAAAAAGTTTGATATTTTTCTAGAATATATTTATTTTTAATTATAGATAAAGAAAGGTCCTGAAAAGGGTAAAGTGATTGAAGTTATAAAGCGAAAGCTCTTCATGAAAGATATAATTAGTATATCACTAAGGTAAAATTTTTTCAATAATATTACAATGAACAAAGGATTAATATTAAATATGTTGCCAGATATTTTGTCAACTTTACCAATTAGCGCAAATCTAGCGCAAACTCAGATTAATAATTATTATTTTTATATCACTAATATTTTATAAAAGTGTTGAAGTTTAACAAGTTCATAGTAAAATTTTCATCAAACATGCAAAATATAAATAAAAACTTAGTTATTTTAACTTTTGAACAACGTTAAAATGTTGCTTTTTTTTTTGTTTTATTTTTATTATATTTTAATTTTTAGTAAATTCAAAGTTTGTATTTTTTCAAAAATTTTGGAATCTTCATTAAGCAGTTCTTTTAAAAAAAATCTTTTTTTAGATTTTTTATTAAACAATATAATTAAAAAATTACAAATGAAATCTAAATTTTTTTTTTTAATATAAATTTTTTTTATTATTCATTTTTCAAAGCATCATATACATAATATATAATATTCTTTTTATTAGTTTATGTTAGAGGGTATTGTTTAATAATGATAAACAAAATATCTAAATATTTAAATGTTTATACCAGGGCTGTGAAGTCGGAGTTGGAGTTGCGGAGTTGCGACAATTTTACTGGAGTCGGAGTCGCTAAAAAATATTGCGACTCCGATAGTAAAATTTCTTGGTATTGCACGTGCATGTATAAAACATTCAATTAACCTTATGTTCATAGTAAACCTCAAAGAATGTTTCATAAATTTGTCAAAAAAAAAATTTCAACACACCGGGCAATATTTTTTAAAGAATTCAAAGAGTTTTTCAAAAATTTTGCTTTGGAGTTGGAGTCGAAGTCGGAGTTGTACTCAAAAAATTTCAACAACTGGAGTCAGAGTCGTTACTTTTTTTTACGACTCCACAACCCTGGTTTATACTACATAGTAATTACATAACAATAAGTGTTGATTTTTTTTAGTTGTGGAAATGAATAAAAGGAATTATAAAAAATATTTAACTCATCTGCAACCATTTTATCTTGGTTTGTTCTTAAGTTTCTGATATTTGTACTTTCTCAGAATCACTGACGTTGGGTTTTCTATAGGGTTCAGCAAATGCATCTGCGCAGATCTGCGCAGACATAATATGCGCATATCTGCGCAGACGTCGGCGCCGACGTCTGCGAAGACAGTTTAAAGGATACGAAAAATTTAAATTATGATAAAAAAATTACTTCAGACATTTGATTCAGATAATTTAATTATCTAAATCAAATTGCGTGAAATTAATTATTTTTTTAAATTTAATTTTAGACAATATTTAATAAAATAATTTCAGACATTTTAAAAAACTTGTAAAGAGTAGGTATTATCTACTTTTAGGTATTATCTACTTTTTACGAATTTTTCGTTACTTGTCTGTTTCTTTTTTGTTCGAGCTACATATAATCAATCGATATAAACTTTTTAAAGTGTTTCTTACTACAATTTAAGGTGATTTAAAATAAAGAACTCGCGTATTTTCGTCATAACAAATGTTTAAAATGGAAAACATCAAAATTTCGAATTATTTGACAAATCTTGACCGAGGGAAGCGTTCTGGCACTTGTTTAGCATGTAACAAAACTGTTCAATGGTCGAAGGAATGCCTTGCAGCGCATAAAAGATCAACATGTCAAAACGCCAGTGTCGAGGAAAAAAGATGTTTTCTAAGCGTAATTATGAATCGTCACATCTGATGAATGACTCTCAGCAACTTCCGTCTACGTCTGATTCACCGATGCAGCGTGTACATCCACCGATTAATGAAGAGCTCAAAAATGATATCGACACGAAGCTTGCAAATTTCTTTTACCGTACGGGTATATCATTTCGTTTAGTGGAATCGGAGGTCTTTAAAGATTTTGTGAAGTCGCTCAATCCATTGTACGCATCTGTCATCCCGAAAGCTAAAGCCTTATCAGGATCTCTGCTCAACAAACAATACACAAAATGTTCTATTTATATAAATGAAATTTTGAATTCTAAAACAAACTTAACACTGATGTCTGATGGCTGGACGAACATAAGGGGCGCCCCTTATGTTCGTCCAGCCGTATGTTCGTAAAAGCCAAGTTTGATGAAAGATGAATTGCAGCAAATATTTCTCTTTTATTGTCCATGCCTGTATCTACACGATGGTTTAGTTATTATAAATCAATGAGCAGTCTCCAGCTATCAAAATACGTTCTTATTAAGTTGGTAGACGAAGAAAGTCTATTACTGAAGGAAATTCAACCAAAGAATATATCTGCTGTTGTTATGGCGTTGAGAAAATTTAACCCATTTTGGGACTGTCTCTCTAAGCTTGTCAAAAGCATTGAATTTCCTTCCAATGTGATCGGAAAGCTAGAAAGGGATACAGCTCCATTGTCTCTCGTGTATGATTACTTTGGTCAAATGTACCATTCATATATGGACGATAAAGACATACAACAAAAAGTGCAATCTCGCCTCGATTTTCTCTTTACACCATGTATTGGAATTGCTTTCATATTAACGCCCAAAAATGCCGCAGAAGGTTTTTATTTGAATGAAGATAAAACCGATTTTATCACTGCTACAGTTGAATTCGCCAAAAAGATCAAACCTGAAATTGCTGCCACTGCTGAGGATGAATTGATTGCTTATATAGGAGAAATTTCTGTGCTACCTGAGAGAAGAAAAGAAACAATATTCAAGATGAACTCGCGAAATTGTTGGAACATTATCAGTCGCGATAAATATCCTGCTCTTTATGAAATTGCTAAGCCTATTAACGAAATGATCTGCTCATAGGCTACAGCAGAAAGAGCTTGGTCGACCTTTCGATTTATTCACTCGCGACTAAGAAATTGTCTTACGAATGAGAGAGTTGAAAAGCTAGTATTCTTGTATACCAATAGCGTGCTGATGGACACAAATGACAAGACTGATTACATTCTTGAAGAAGGTGCAATTCTCAATGAAATTGAATGTCAAGAAATCACTGAATAGGCGCCAGCATTATATATGTTTATTACTGTAAGAATCTTTGAAAACTCTTTTTGTTACTAATCACTGAATTTATAATAAAGTTAAAAGATTACTTAAAACATTTTTTAAGTTTAAAACTTTTTTTGTTGATTTCAATAAATCGCCAGTAATAATAATATCTGCACAGATCTGCGCCGAGAGACAAACCTTAGTATATTTTAGCAGTAATAATAAATTTTGTCGGCGCCGACGTCTGCGCAGACAAATTACATAGTCTGCGCAGATCTGCGCTGACAGTGCGAACCCTAGTTTTCTATGTTTTTTAATTTTTTTTAAATAAGGTTACTCAATAATATCTGACAACAATGCTTTTAGAAAATGTTTATCATTAACACTTTTGCAACAGAATGAAAAAAAAAGTTATTGGTTCAAAACTATAAAATTTACTTTAAATGTTTTGATTTTGTTTCTGATGTTATGGTCTTGTTTCTCATTTTGCTATGGAATAACATGAGAAACATCTGATGTTTCGCATGAACATATTCGATGTTGTTATGGAGATGAGGAACATATCCGATGTTTCGCATCTTAACATGAAACACATATAGGTTCATCTTAAATCTTCTTTAAATGATCTACAGTATAATCATAAGTTTGCTTTCTTTAGTCATAGAGAATATGTTTTAATTGTTTCTTGTGCTTTTTTTTTACTTATGATTGTGCTGAAATATTTTGTTTATAGGTATAATGTCATCTTTATTTCATATCACTTTACTTCAGATTAGTTTATACTATTTATAAATCAACTTGTAAAACAGAACTTAAAAATTGGTATTGACAAAAATGCTTGATTATTTAATTAATCAGTGTTCTAATTGGTAAACACAAATAATTTAATATATATATATATATATATATATATATATATATTATATAGTAGTGAAAATAGTTACAAAATGTTGTATAAAATATATGATTTTGCAATTAATACGAACACCCCTACCTCACCTCTCTCTTATCAGGAAGAGTTTTTTATTTTCCTCCCTTGCTGCATGATTAAGATTACATGTTAGTTTTGCTGCAATCGAAACAAAATGGCTTTTATGTTGTTTTCATGTTAAGTTGATAAAAGTAAAATCACTTGAAGCAAAAATCAATTAATTAATCACAAAACCACAAAGATACAACTTTATTGATGTGAAACTGATTAATAATTATTATTTTTACATCACTTATATTTTTATAAAAGTATTAAAGTTTAAGAAGTTCATAGTGAGATCTAGAGCCCCTCTAGATCTCTAGCTTTTTACAAAGATTTACGTTTATTAATGGAACAGTTGTTATTTGTTTTTTAGTGCTCTGCAAGATGATTTTATAATTATGCATATTCAAAATGACTATGACAGCATTTTTGAATCTGTTTTCAAAACAGAGTTTCTCACTCTTCTTGCTGCTCGTTATGAAGATGAAACCTCTAAAAAACTTAAAGTTGATGTCAATAACAAGTAGTTTTACTTTCTTTTTACAATTTTGTATTATTTTTATATTATTAATTTTGAATTTAATTTTTAATTTTTAAAAGTGTATTATTATTACATTATTAATTTTAAAAAGTGTTTTAAAAATTTATTACTTCTATAAAAAATATGTCCATTGAAATTTTAATGTTTTAACAAAATTTTAATAATAAAAGTAAATAAAAATAACTTTAAAAATAACATAGATTTAATTCAGCACATCTTCATAGAATTACCATTGATACAAAATTATTTAACAGATTATTGGTAAGAAAGAACACGGTAACAACAATACTATTCATTTTTTTTTTTCCGACCTTGTGTTCAAGTAAGAACACCCTATGTGATGTCTCATTATCTGTTTTAGATGTTTTAACTTCACAGTATCTGCAGAAATGCTTAAAAGAATGTTTACTATATTGCAAGTTGCGCAAAATGAATAGTTTGCAGATACTGTGTTCTTTTTTATCACAGCAGAGTAATACGAGAATGTTCATTAGTTATTACATTATTGTGATGATAATAAATTTTATTAATCTTTAAAAAAATTTAGAATAACTGTTTCTGTGAAGATGGATCGTCTAGAAAAATTACAACGGGGAGGAACAAGGACACTTCAGTTCATAAAGGGAAATGGTGATATTCCTGTTCTAAAACCAAGTGGAAAAATACTAAATATTACAATAGGACCAGGATTGCCCCCTGAAACAAGTTAGGATTGTTTAATTTTTATTATTTTTAAACACAAAAAAACAATTCAATTAATTTTTATATTGGTAATTATCATTTTTAAAGCTTTACATTATAAAGTGTTGTTGTTTTTTTATGACAAGTAGTTTATAATAAAAAGTTATTTAAAAGTTATAATTAAAAAAAAATCATCATTTGAATCTAATGTTTGATCTATGTTTGCAGTCACATGTAATGGATCATCATTTTTCTTGCTCTTTTTATTAAGTACATTGTTTCAAACTTATTCTACTCTATGAGTGTAAAATATAGTTTTAAAAAGATTTTTGCAAAGTGAAAATTTAAAATGGTGAAGAATTAAAGAAAAAAAAATTAAAGTAAAAAAACTTAACAATTAAAATTAAACACTAATTTTTTTTAAAATCAACATTTATTAATAATAACAAATAACTTTAATATTGAATTGTTACAAATAATAAACAAAATTTACAAGTGTTTTGAATTGAACTCTAATATAGATAATACAAAATATTATTATTAAAAGTAAATTTGGAATTAGCATAGAATAGTTATTGATACAAAACTCTTTACTACATTAGTAATATAGATAAAAATTGTATTATATTGATCACCAAGTAAGAGAGAATCTGATAGAAAACTTAATACACAAGAATGGTTGTTAACAATTAGATGCTTTTAGCAATAATTTTCAAAATAATTTGAATTTGGTAAAAAAAAAATTTAAGTGTTTATATAAAAACAATGAATAAAAAAAACTTAATCAAATGTGTCTAAATAAAGATTTTTTGAACACTAATGCAGAAAAGTTTTAATATATATAAAAAAAATAATTTTTTTTTTATATATATTAAAACTATTAAAAATACTCTATATGTTTTATATATATTAAAACTATTAAAAATACTCTAAAAATTTATAGGAGTGCTGCTGGACTGTGCTAAAAATTTATAGGAGTGCTGCTGGACTGTGCTAAAAATTTATAGGAGTGCTGCTGGACTGTGCTAAAAATTTATAGGAGTGCTGCTGGACTGAGGGTTTAGCCTGGAGCAGCAATCTATTCTTTTATTATTTTCATTTTTTTCTTCTTTTTCTGAAAAATTAAAGCGCAAATTTTTAGAATAAGAGCACAAAAATCATATTATGAAATTGCGTCCTTTTGCGTCCTTAGGTATGAATTTTATAGCATAATGTATATTATATCAGGGTGGCCACAGCTCTAAAGTCCTCTTTTTTCAAAAACCTCCTCTAAAATTCTCTAAAAAGTTAAAAATATCATAAAATTTCCACTTTAACTCCTCTTTTTTATTATTTTTTATTTCTTAATAGTAGTATAATGTTCAAAATTACTGGTCTGCAAAATACGTAACGTCTGAAATGAGAATTCTCTTTTCAGTTGTTGACCCGCCTAAACCCCAGTTATGTGGAAACATAGGCTTTAAACCTTGAGAAAAAAATCCTCTAAAATCGTCTATTTTTATTCAAAATTTTGCAAAAAAAAATTCTAAATTAAATGCAAAATCTCCTCTAAAATCCTCTAATATCCTCTTTTTCTTATAAAAAATTTTATGTGGCCACCCTGAAAACAACTCTAACAAAAATTTTTTTTATATATCTGAATATTTAAATATATATTTTATCATTTATTTTGTGTGTGTGTGTGTGTGTGTGTGTGTTATTATGCAATAGTTTGAAAAATATACAATATTTTTCTAAACGCTTTAATTTAGTCAGAAATATTTGATGACTGCTATTTCTCATTGAAAATATATTAAATATGAGTTGCAGAGATATAGTATTTCACTTAAATACTCACAAGCAATTTATTTTCATAAAAATAACTACATGAAATCAACAAATTTTCAACTTTTGTACTAGACCATACATGAACTGGATTTAAACGATTGCTGTAACTCTAATAATTTCATAGTAGTGTAAACTTTCTGGAAATTTTTACTAATATATTTTTTTTAAGAATTTTTTTTTTTAATATTTAGTATTATTTTTAAAAAAATATACTGCTGGAACTTATATTTTATGAGGAATTTCTTTGTCTAGTAATTAAATTTGCTTTTCTGTTTCAAGATTCTGCTTCAAACTTAATTTATTCTAATTAATACTATTCTTTGTAAATAAAATATTTATACAAATTAGAATTAAATAAGAGTAAATTAGATATGGCCAGTTTTATTATTATGAAAATGATAGAGAAAAACATATACAAGTTTCTGTGCGTGATTTTTTTTTTTTTTAAATGCCCAGTACCAATGATATATCGTCGGGGATAGTGCAAAACCGCGTAATTAGCATTGGATTATACCGCGTATATACAGTACATTTTTTTTGCTGGAGAAGTTTAAAACTTTATATATTTTTTATTTTAACTGATTTTGGGTTCATTTTAGTATAAAGAGTATTATTCATGTTTTTTGTAATCTCAACAATAAATATTTGGTGTTAAAATTAATATTATACAAATATAGTAGCCAATGCTAGTTACACGGATTTGCACTATCCCCGACGATATTACATAAATATATAACATATTATTGCCCAGCACTGATTTATAATATAGCATTACATCACTTGCTGTAACATAGAACACATGTTTAAAAGAAAACAAATTTTATACCAGTATTATACCAATATTGAAATTATTTAGTACCAAAATACTGGTATTGAAAAATGATTTCGGTATTGCATGCACTAGCTGTTATATGGCATTCATTCGCCTTGCTTTTTTTTTTTTGTAAAACTTTATTTAAGTCAATTTAAAATATTATCTTAAAACATAAATAGATTACAGAATAAAATTGTTACTGTTAACAAGACTATGAGATTCTAGATTATTGTATTGTCAAATAAGTCTAGAAGTGTTTACCTGTGTTTTGCCATTTGTATATCTGGTGTTTTTAGTAGCTAAATTGTCATGAAGAAAAGGTGGAAGTGGAAAAATAAAGCATGGGTGATATTATAGCCAAAAATAAAGTGTTTGACATTTTAGCTGTTCTGTTTTTGTACCTTTAATAAAATCAGCTTATAGACACTTATAAAAATTTCATGCAGGTAATTCTATATTATTCATGGTAGAATCATCAGAAATAAAAGCTGACATATGTTCTGCAACGATTGTTTTATCTTGTTTGAATTTAACTTGGGAAACTTTTGGGTGATACGCTTAAAGAGTTAAAAACTGTGATCCATTTTAGAATCATTTGAACAGGCCCAGCTTGATATGCAACGATTGCACAATGATTTTGTCTCTGTTGATCAAAGGAAGGTTATAAGCATTGTTTATACCAAGCTAAGAGGTTGTTAACATTTTGGACTTGTTTAACTTTTCCAGAGACATAAAAAGCAACAGTGCTTTGTGTATTCAGACTGAAGTTTCATATGCAAAACAACTACTTTTAGATCAGCACTGTTACAATATGAATGACTGGTGTAATTAATACAATATAGAATCTTTTTAAGATTTGTGTAGATTTTTTTCATTAATGCAGAATATTCAGCTAGTAAAGATGAAAATAAGTTTCTATTGATAAAACAGATTTGTGACAATTGACAGATAAATCAGTAAAAAGTTTCCAGTCTTTGGCCACACTACTTAAAACTACAAGCATCAATTAAACTGTTTATGTCAATACAATAGCAAAGTTATTTCTCATTATAAAAATATCATCATAAAAAGATTTCACAGATTATTTGCTTGCCATGGAAATATTTGTATCTGCAACTTGCAGGTTCCACTCGTTTAATTGAGATACAAGCAGCTTACTTTAATCTTTTGTTAAGGTAAGGTTTTGTACCAGGTTGTTTTTGTTAAACTGTGCGATAAGATGGGGGGACTTTGTTGTCTGTGAAGACGGTTTAGAACTCTTCTTCATTAGAACTAGAAGATTCACTTTCTGAATTAGGTTGAGGTAATGATGCTAATTTTGGGGCAGGAACTTCTTCACAGTGAGAAGCTAGACATGCAGCTAGCAATACATTTGGATATTCAGTTCTGTGCTTGTTCATGTTATTCAAACCTTTAGTGACAGTCAAGCAGAAGTAACAGTCTGTAAATTCATCATAATGCTTTTGCTATACGACTGACACTCTAAAAAGCAATCCTAGAATGAATTGATTGCGCCATTTAGACAAGAAGCTGGAAAATAAAAACTGGTTCTACTTCTCTTTCTTCCATGCTTATCTTTTTGTTTCAAAAGCATTGGAAAAGAGTTGGCTGCTATTTCCCCCCCCCCCTCTCTCTCTCTCCTACTCCCTCCTTGGAATAAAATAATTTAGAGGGTTAATACTTTATTTTGTTTTTTTTTAATTATTACCAAGTGCTCCAAGAAGAAAGAAGCCTTTCTTCTTGAAGGCACAATGTGGAAGAGCATTTAATCAGGAAGTTCACACCTTCTTATCAATGTTAGCTAATCTGCAATAACTAAGATATGTTAGTGAAAAAGTATGCAGGATTGAAATGTTAAATTTGTTGTTGTTTGCTCCGCAAATATTTATTTCTCTGTTATAGAATCAAACATAAAAATAAGTAATTATAAAATAAAAACTGTACCCAAAAATTTTATTTGACAAAAAAATATAAGGAAAATATAGGATCTTACTGTGACTAAAAAAGTAGTTTTTTCTTTAATTTATTAAAAGTGACTTTACGTGAGACAAATTAGCTGAAAATCTGCTCATAAAACTAGGAATAGTTTGCAGCCTAATATATATTTTGGGCTTTAATAATTGCCCAATAAAGCATGCGCAGCTTGTGAATGGGTCGTTAAAATAAAAACTCAATCTTCGTAACTGTGGAGGTGAATTAAAATTCAAAAAAAAGAATATTAAAAAAAAATTTCAATCTAGTTTTTTAATTAGTTTTTTTTCAATCTTCCACAAATGGAGAAGTCTTATACATATCTTTGAAAATTTTAATTGATTCTAAAGAGTTAACGTAAAATAAAATAATTACGAAATGATATTAAATTTCATCGACATAACGGCAATGATATAACGACATTATTTTTAAAAAAGTGTATAAAAATAAAATATATTACTAAAAATGTCTTTTAAAAAATATGATTTATTTTATTTTGGAGTTTAAGGTGTTATTTTGTTTAGTTTAATGTTTGTATCGAGTGAGACATGCTTTTAATTTAACGGTTTTCAGTGTTGTGTAATTATTTATTATTGCATTCATAACTTATATTTATTTATAATTTATATTTTGAATTTCTTCTTTTGCTGAGTTTTTACTGTGTTTTTTCATGTTATTAATTAGAACCTGGTCGTAATTATGGAAAATCTACGCAGTCGAATAAGAAAAAGTCAGTCTCTGAACACCGGTCGCAACAGCAGAGCAACACCAAATCATCTTCTAGACGTGAATCTTTAAGTAAAGTATCATCTGCTAGTGGTCGTCACCCAAGTCTGCCTAAATCAGGTGCACAGCGAATGGCAAGACAATCCTCTAAAGTTAATGAAAAAGAAGAGTTCATGAGACCTCCTGATCCGGGACAGAGCGGGTATGGTTTGTTTGTTGTTTATTTGTTGTTGACTGTTTATCATATTACTATTGTAAAAAGTTTAATATTTTTTGACCTACAATAATAATAATTTTTTAATTTTGTTATCTAAAAGTAAACAAAGAGGCAGTACTGTTAAACGTGTAGCACCATCACCTCCTACCAGTCAACCTCCAAAACCTGTACCTGCACCAAAACCTCGTTTACCCATGGCAAAAACATTGTATACTTACGACCCTCAAGAAGCAGACGAGTTAAAATTTGTAGAAGGAGATATAATAGAAATTATTAAAGAAGGTAATAAATTAAATTTAAAGAAAGATTTAAAAATTGTAATAATTTATCTAAATAGTTTAGTAATTATATACAAATATAACGTTAAATTTATTAGAAATATATATAATTAATAAGATATACTATTAAATGATGTATATTTTAGTTATAAATTTCATTTATTTTTTAATATAGACCCTTCAGGATGGTGGACTGGACGTCTTCGTGGGAAGGAGGGGTTGTTCCCAAGTAATTATGTAGAGAAAGTTAATTAGTCTTTTTGTGATTGCAAAACTTTTTATATTATTGAAAACTTTTGTTAACCCTTAAGAGAAACTTAAAATTTTTAAATATAAATAAATGTCCTGTGTAGAATCTTTTTTTTTTCCTTTTTTTCTTTCGATTTGTTCATTTTTTGCTACTATTTATTTTTATATGTTTTTTGTCCCGCTTGCTGCAATCTATGGTCAGTTTTCTAGCTTTTTTATGTTTTTATAAGAAGTTCATTGCTGTAATAGTTTTCTGTGTAATAACGTTTTACGTTATATTTTATGTAAGTTTTCTAACGTTCACATTGTGTTTTACGTCAATTTTCTATCGTTTTACGTCGTGTTTTACGTCAGTTTTCTATCGTTTTATATTTTTAAACATGTTTAATGTTGTAATTTTGTTGTATGTTTATAGAAAAAAGCATTTTATTTATATCTTTTTGTGTGAAATCATATAGGAATTTTGTAATATTCTTTTTAAAATTTTTATTTTATATTGGAATTCATTTGATTTTCTAATTTACCTCGGGCATGATTGCATTAATTATTTTATTTTTATTATAAAGTGTTAAAAAAAATCGCTATTATGTTGCCAAATTTTAGTTTTTTATGATGTGATTTTTTGTTTTTAACATTAAAAAAATCAGGAGATAATCTTGTGCTTTATTAAAAAAAACGTTTTCAACTTTTTGAGAAAATTGAATAATAATTAACCACAAATTATGAAAAAAACATATATATATATATGTATATATATATATATATATATATATATATAGATATAGTACATATAGACTCAATATAGGTTCTTTTTTATGGTGTAAATAAATTAGGGGCCATCCGTAAAGAACATCATGCTTACTGGGGGAGGGGAGTGGGTCATCAAAAAAGGACGTCATCTTATAGAATTGTTTTATTGTAAACATTTATATTTATGAAGTCAACGTAAGGAAACGTAATGTTTTTATTTATCGTAGTTAAAGAAAAAATATATATGTATGTATATATATGTATGTATATATGTGGGTTTTTTTTGCGAAAACTTTTGACGTGAACGGACGTGCTTTTGTAAACTAAATTAAAAATGGCTAAATTTACCGTTTCTCAAATTAAAGATCTATTAGATATTCATGAGAATACTTTATTGAAAATATTTAACAAGAAGTTTGATAAAATGGAAATCAAACTATTAAATCTTCAAGAGGAAAATTCAAAACTAAAAAAAGAAACTAGTGAATTAAGGAAATCGGCAGAGTTTCCTAGCGAGAAATATAAATCAATTGTTCAAGAACTTTCTGAAATAAAAAAAAAGCCTAACTCAACATCAAGCCAGAATGATATAACAAATGTTGTTGTCAAAGACAAACTTGCTGAGTTGGAATACAGAAGCAGAAGAAATAATCTAAGGTTTACAGGAATTGAGGAAGACGAAAATAAAACGTGGGAATTAAGCGAAGAAAAGATTCAAAATGTTTTAAAGTCAAAACTTGGTTTTAAAGGTAATGTTGAAATTGAATGTGCGCACAGGACGGGGAAAAAAATAGCGATGGAAAAAAGTACAACAGAACCATAATAGTAAAATTTTTAAATTACAAAGACAAAAAAACTGCGTTGGATAACTATGTTCAGTTAAAATTGTGGAACGATCGGCTTTATGTAAACGAAGACTACAGCGAAAGAACTTTGGAATTGCGAAAACAGTTATTAAAAGAAGCAAAAGATCTGAGAGCCCAAGGTAAATATGCTAAAGTTGTGTATAATAAACTTGTAACGCGCGACAATTAAGAAATTCTTTTATATTAGAATTATTATTTTATCTTAAATTTTTATTGTTTTTAAATACTAAAATGGATTCAAATCATGGACTCAAAGAATTTTGATATTTTTCAATTCAATGATTTTATACTCAACAAAGAGTCCGAATTGGATCAAAGTTTTTTTTATCGAAACAGGTGCTTTACAAAGCAACTGCAGCTGTTTCTATAGTTATGAAATAAAAGAATTTCTTGAGCATGATAAATTTAATGCAGTTCATATAAATATAAGAAGTTTAAAAAAAAATTTTAAAAAATCTTTGCAATAGTTTTGAGGAAAATTTAACTCTTTTTAGTGTAATATGCTTAACTAAAACTTGGTGTAGTTCTAATGACTCAAGTTTAGATAATAACTTTAAAATACCGGCCTATAATTTGATTTCATTAGGGCGGAAAACAAATAAATGCTGCGGTGGTTTAATTATTTATGTAAGAGAAAACCTTCAGTATTATATTAGGCATGACATGAGTATTTCTGATGTCAATAAAGAGGTTTTAACAATTGAAATATTGAACAATAAAACTAAAAACATTGCGATTAGCTGTTGTTATCGCCCACCTACAGGCGAAATTAAAACTTTTAGTACATTTTTACAAGATGATGTTATAAATAAAAGCAACCATAAAAAGAAATTACTTTGTAATTATCATGTCAAAAAAGACATTAATGGGTTTTATAATGGCCTATTTGAAAATGGAGCAGTTCCTCTAATAAACAAACCAACTAGAATTACTCAAACAACAACTTCCTTAATTGATAACATTATAACCAACGATGTTTTTAATAATTCGCTTAAAAAAGGCATTATTAAAAGTGATATATCTGATCACTTTCCTATATTTTTTTCAATTGATATTTATACGAAAATTATATGTTATGAAAAAAAATCATTTAAAAAACGAATTTTTCATAATAAAAACCTAGAATCTTTTAAATATCAACTATCGTTAATTAATTGGGACATTATAAACTTTTCTGAACACATTAATTTAATATTCGAATCCTTTTTTAAAATTTTTTATGAAATTTATGACATCAATTTTCCCAAAGTAGAAGTAAATTACAAATATAAAAAAATTGTATCGCCATGGATTACTAAAGGTATTCTAAAATCTTCAAAAATTAAGCAAAAACTTTATATTAAGTATTTAAAATCAAAAACAACTGAGAGTAAGACTATTTATAAAAATTACGTAAGATTATTTGAACGCCTAAGGAAAAATTCAAAAAAAATATATTTCACTAATTTACTTGAAAAATACAAACTAAACTCAAAACGCACTTGGCAACTAATAAACAAAATTACTGGTAACACTCAAAAAATATCGCAATCTTTGCCCTCAGTAGATGATAATCTTCTTCTTGATCAAAAATCAATTGCTTCTGAGTTTAATGAATACTTTGTATCTGTAGGACCAAACCTAGCCGAAAAAATTCCGAACCCTAAAAAATTAATAAAAGCAACATAAAACCTCTAAACTCGTATCTAAATTCTTTTGATTTGTCTTTTGAAGAGTTTGAAAGTGCTTTTAAATTGTTAAAGTCAAATAAAGCAGTTGGTCCTGATGATGTCAACGGAAATATTATTATAAGCTGTTTTGACGTTTTAAAAGACATTCTTTTCCAAATTTTTAAATGCTCTATTAATCAGGGAGTTTTTCCTGATGATTTAAAAATAGTAAAATTATTCCTATATTTAAAGAAGGAGAAAAAACTAATGTAAAACACTATCGTCCAATTTTCCATCCTCTCTCTTTTTTCTAAAATTTTAGAAAGAATTTTGTAGAACAGAATATACAATCACCTTTTAACAAACAAATTATTATATAACATGCAATATGGATTCAAAAAATAATAATTCAACAGAACATGCAATTATTCAGCTTACAAGAAGTATATCAGACTCATTTAACAATTCTAAATTCACATTGGGAATATTTATTGATTTAGCGAAAGCGTTTGATACAATTGATCATAAAATTCTTATTAAAAAATTAGAATATTATGGTATAATAGGCAATATTTTAAAATGGTTGAAAAGTTATTTAACTAATCGTAAACAATTTGTTTATGCTGATTAATCATTTTCATCAAATTTGTTAAATATTACATGTGGAGTTCCTCAAGGATCCATATTAGGACCTCTTCTCTTCATTATTTATATTAATGATCTATACAAAGCCTCGAATTTAATAACAATTATGTTTGCTGATGACACTAATTTATTTATGTCTCACAAAAGCATTCCTACTTTATTTCATAACGTGAACATCGAGTTAATCAAAATATCTGACTGGTTTAAGACAAACAAACTATCCCTTAACATTGATAAAACTAAATGGATTCTTTTCCATCCTCTTACCAAAAAACATAAACTGCCAATTAACATGCCTCCACTTGTTATTGACAATATACAAATTAAAAAAGTAACAGTAACTAATTTTCTAGGCGTTTGTTTAGATGAAAATCTTTCATGGAAAAATCACATTAAAAACTTATCAAGTAAAATTTCAAAAAGTATAGGAATATTGTACAAAGCGAGAAATCTTAAATAAACAAACTTTAGTGCAATTATATCACTCATTTATTTATTGCCACATAAACTATGCAAACATTGCTTGGGGTAGTGCATATAAAAACAAACTTAAACCTCTTTATTGTCAGCAGAAGCATGTAGCACGTCTTTTATATTTTAAAGACCGTTATACTCATGCCAATCCTCTTTTATTTGAAATGAAAGTTTTTAATATATATGAGATTAATATTTTTAATATTCTTTGTTTTATGTTTAAATGTAAAACCAATTCATCTTCGATTTCTTTCGATAATTTGTATTCATCAAAAGATAAAAATAAATACATTTTACGCAATAATAATTTTATTAAGCAGCCCAATTTTCAAACAAATCTTTTTAAATTTTGTATTGATTATCGCGGACCATTCTTATGGAATAAAATAGTTTTAAAAAATTTTTCTGAGGATTTTATTAATCAAAGTAACTACTTTTCTTTTAAACAAAAGCTTAAAGAACTCATTTTTACAATCGATGATTTAACAATATACTTTTGATATTTTTGTGATCTTTATTTTTACCATTTATTTAAACATGAACTTATAAAAAGTATATATGTATCATTAACAACTATAATTTACATTTATAATAGATGTAACGCATCTTGTATTTATTATGGAGTATTTTAAGTTTCTTACCTTTGTTAACTTATTTTTATTTTTTAATTTTGTAATTACCTTTTTAATTTTAATACGAACATTTTTTAGCGGTACTCGACGACAAGACCATATGGTCTTCTACGAGTCCCCGCGTTCTTTTATTTTCTAATAACGACCACTATATTTATATATAAATTTATTATTATATATTTGTATTTGAAATATTGTAACGAAATGCTTATTTTACATGTAATAAAAAGAACGAAAAAAAGAAAAAAAAAAACAATGTTGAATATATTACAACTAATTATATACGTGTATGTAATAGAATTGGTCGTCCTACTATTGCATTAGAACAATCTGAGCTATTGCGATTTATCATTTACCTTGCTGAGCATGGGTCTGCTGCCCACTATATAAGGCAATCTGAAGTGTATAGGGTGAAAGTACAACTTTAGCTAATAAAATATTCTAATGAACTATATTAGGTATAAACATAACTTTTTAGCCTCTAAACTTATTCACTTATAACTTTTTAATTACTTTTCAAGGAGCCTCAAATCGTTGAATAAGCTAGATGGCGAGCTCAAAAGGAGAAGCTACCATCTTCAGGATGGTAGAGGCTCTCATCTCAGAAATGTTTTATATTCTCGTTTGATGCCAAAATAAAACAAATTATTTGAAGGAAAAAACACAGCCATATGGTTCCTGTCAAGTTAATACGAGCCCAAAACGATCTTCATTCAAGTCACGTGGATGGTCTATTTTGTACAGCAACTATAAAGAATGTGTATGTGTGCTTTATAAGTCAAGGCAACAAATCTCGAATCCTAATTGGAATAGCGCTTCTAATAAACAAGCTCCTATATTAATGTATATGGAATATTAAGTTTCTCTTCCTAATCATGATTGGGTCATCGCCGCAAAGCACATACTCATCTTATCTCTCTACGCAGGCAATGAAATCAAACCAGACGGGCTTGGAAAATCTGACGCAGTTTCCTATTTTGGTCCTACTTATGTGGCTGTTTGATCTGGAAAATATTCGTCATTGAAAGCATATGCTCACGAACTAAACTTTAAACAACTTTTAACTCTGCCAGAGTTCAATTCTATTACAAAATATCCTTTGACCAAGTTTGTCAAACCAGTAGTTGTCTTCATTGTTGATTTAGCGGGATAGATTCTCCCTCATGATCATCTAGAACTCTCAAGGAATTTAAATTGTTTTTTAATATCAACTCTTTGTCAAAATACAGTATATGTAGCAAGAAGAATTAATTATCTGCATTGCGACTTTTATTTAAGGTAGGACAATGGATCTTCTTTTGGAGAAACAGAATTTTAATTTCGCTGGAAAGATCTGTACCTCGATTTTTTCAAGTCTGATATTTGATCAGTTTCCAACAATGGTTGAGTATATCGATTCAGACGACAAGACGGAGCTCGATGCTCGTCAACTCTTATCGAAGTATCAGAAATGGTTTTGCCTTTTATGTGCGCACCAGCCAATATTTCACGCAAATTGTTAAATATGAGAATTCCATATGTTGTTCTTTGAGAAAAATCTCTTATTTACATGTTATTCCCGGTCGATTTCTGCTACCACCTATTCCAATCTGCCAGTCTTGGCTTGAAAGCTGGAGCTTTAAAGCCAAGAAACATCAAAAATCCCGCAGAATTTTTTGATGTTTCAGATAGGACACGTTCACATTTCGTGCAAATTTAAGTATGTTCATACCAATACCAAATAAGGAGGCCTTGCAAAAATTTAGAAAAAAATTAAAACGGATGGTCTTATATTCCAAATGCGACGGATGGTCTTATATTCCAAATGCGACTATTTCGACGAATCGGACTGCCTTATCCCAATCATATCAGTTAATAATTATTAAAAAAAAAAACATTGTATGGGAAAAAGTAATAGAAAAAAAGGACAGCTGGTGACAAAGGGAGAGGGGGGAGGGAAGGTTGAAAATAATCGAAAAAATGGTGACGTCCTTTTTGAACGGCCTCTTATCAAGTTTTACAGGTTGTTTACGGTAAATGTGTTGTTCTCTAAAATAAAATATGGTTCATTTTATTTTAGAGAATTTTAGGGAAGCATAGTTATTCAGTAATTTTTAGTTAAATTATTTATCCCTTTACTAACTGTACAGAATTTACCCATATACCGTTGTCAATTTGTTGACTGCAAATTTTTGAGGGATTAAAAAAAAAAATTTTCCTGGATTATTATAAAGTTTAAAAATTTTTTATTAAATACTGTTAACAACCCTTTGACATCATTCAAAGTTGTTACAGACCTTGCAGTATGCTTTGGATATGCCAGGACATAGCTTCTCCTAACATATACTTCTCCGCCGTACTTCATTGTCTTTGGAATATACAAAGCGTTGTTTTCTTGCTTCTAAGGAGGCCTAGCAAAAATGTTCCTAAATAAAAATGTTTTTTTTTTGGAAAAGCGTTTTATAGACTGATGAATCCAAGTTTAATCGCTTTCAGTCTGATGGAAAAGTATATGTTAGGCTCAATCAGATAATGAAGCAATTAATTCATTTGAATCAATCCAAGTGTTTTTATGATTATTCCTCGCCCAATTGCTACTCGGTACTAATATCTGTTCGTTTTCATTTTAATCGTCGAACAGTTATTAAACGAATAATATTTGTTCGCTAAATAGATGACGAGTAAATAATTGTCTGTTCCGGTTTATTCGTTGAACAAATAAATAATCGTTAAACAAAGGGGAAACAATTACACCCTTTTTAAAAAAAATTCCAAAAAAATTTTTTTTACTGATTAGTTAGTTTTTTTTTATTATTAAAAAGTTTGTATTAGTAGAAAAGGGTTGTTTTTTTTTAATTATAAATAAAAAATAAAAATGTTTTATTTATACTTTTATATTATTTATTTTCCTTATATTTTTTATTTTCATTGTTATCTTCAAACCCAGGCTAGGTGACGCTTTCAAAAAAATTTTTTGGAAAACTTTACCTACTTTCATGAAAAATCATAGTGTTTTTTATGAAAGTAGTTCACTTATTTCATGAAAACCATCATAATGGTTTTCATGAAAGTAGACGGTCAATAATAAATTTAATTGCCTCAGGTCAGAATTCCAACGAGTTGCTACTTTCTGGATAAGTGTTATTAGTGGTAGTTGATGTTCAATAGCAAATATCCTCAAAATGGTCTTAGAAAAATGTACAACTAATTTGTTTTATTTTGCTAAAATTTAACTCAGGAACACTTGCTTGCGTTATAATTAAATTTATCTGATGATTAGCGCGACAAAGATTTTTTTGATAACTTTGCTGATTCGCAAAGTTTTCATAAATTTTCAACATCAGTTCCATCTATGAGACTTTTTTCCTAATTAAAGCATTTTGTTATTTGATCTAGTTTTTTTATTAATTTAGTATTTTTATAGGTTTTTATAGATTTAGTATTTTTACAATATTTTCGGCATCTTGTGCATCAGGAAAAAGTTCAACAAGATGTTAAAGAAAATATTTTTCAATGAAAAATATTTTCTTTAACATGAAAGAAAGAAAGAAACTGCAGTATTATTATAAGAAATCAGTAATAAATTAGCATGCGTCAAGATCACTCCTCTCATCCTCAATAATTTTTTTCATATAGTCACTGGTGAATTCATAATTAGTCACATATAGTCACTGGTGAATTCATAATTAGGGAATAATTTAGGGAGTCTGTTCCAAAAAAGTGATTTTGATGAAGCAGATCAATTGCTAATGATGTTAGCCACTAATGTGATATTTGGACTAATGACGCGAAGAATAAGGTAAGGATCCGGTTGTTCTAGCTTGTAAGACTCATGATACGAAGAATCTTAGAAATTTTAGCAGTTTTCAACCAAATGATATCAAAGTTTTTTTTTTAAGAAGTAAATAAGAAAAGAAAAAGAAAAACAATTTTTGTTACTTTAGATATATACGTGTTGTTGTAAAGGAAAACTCGTAGAGGTCAATGAAGACATATCATCGAGTAACTTTTTAAATGGTAACAACACTAGCTCGTTTGGATGGATTGATGAAATTCTTATCTAAAAAGTTATTATTATTGACAACACGACGCCTTATCCGAACCTGTTGGGCATCACTGGACAGTTGTTTTTTACGTTCCTTTGCACGGAAAATTTATTGTAATTTAAAATTTAACTTTGTACGAAAAAAAAACAAAAAAACAACGACTTAAATTCCGTAATAGCGACTTAAAAAAAAATTTGCGAAACGATTCATTTTATAAAAAGACTTTTTCAATAGTCCCTTAAGAAAAGGACAATTAAAAAAATTAAAACGATTTTTTTGCGCTTGTCACAATTACGTCTGAAATAATGCATTTGTCCACAAATTTAAAATATAGATCGAGTAAGGGTAAGGTTTGCGGAAATATAGTTCATATATTGGATCAGATTTAGGGTTATGGCTGGACCAAACAGAGTTAAGGTAAGGATCCGGTTGTTCTAGTTTGTAAAATTAACTCTAAACGATAATTTTCAAATTTTTTATGCCAAAAAAAAATTTAATGCAAATTAAGACCTTCAAATAAATATTTTTCTATATGAGCAAGAGAACGTAAGGCATACTTATTAGAGATGTATCACCCAACCTCATGTTCAGATGTTCAGTACCCATGTTCAGACGTTATATACTTCATAGCCATAAGTTTAATAGGATAAAAAAAGTGTGATTTCCGTATTAAGTGTGGTTTCTCAGATTTTTATTGTTATTATTGTTATTAAGAGTTTTGTTATTAATAACTTAATGGCGTTATTAATATTTCATGCAAAACTCTTTTATCAGAAAGTTTCCATCATCATTGACGTTTTTTCACAGATTTAGAATTGATTCTTAATAATAAAAATAACACTGTAACCACTGTGTCAAGGATTCTGTATGTCATATATTTTTTCATTTAACATGAAATGAGACTTTTTTATGCAATAATATATATATATATATATATATATATATATATATATATAATATATATATATATATATATATATATATATATATATATATATATATATATATATATATATATATATATATATATATATACAATGTGCATTTTAGTTTTCACTGCTAATTAACGGATTTCTGATTACAAACAATTCTGCAATATACTGTCCATACCCATCAGGAGCAATTTTTTTCAATAACTTATCAATAATGTCAGAAGTAACTTTTTGGGTTTCATTATTATGCATTTCTTTTAAGGTATCAACACCAAGGTTTTGTAGATTCATTGTGCACTTGTACTTATATTCTGGATGAATAACTAGGTTCAAAGATCGTATTTCTTCTTTAACCTCTTTTGCTTCAAGCAAAAGGCTCCACCCTTCCATTTCTCTATATATCATCTGCATAACGTTGACTTTTTCCACCTCGTCATCGCTCATGTGTATTATAACAACGACCCCGGTTGAAGGTTTTAGCCAATTTTGAAAACATTTTTGCATTAGGTTCATTCTGTCTTGTTTGCTGAGATCGTACAACATGTGAAATATTAGGATGACATCAATTTCATTTTTTGGACCATCCCAGTTCTGGATTGACTCTTGATAAACAGCTTTGTCGATATGTGGTAGTTGTGTTTGTATGTTTGAATCTAATTCCTTGGCGCAAAACTCGTTGCTTTCGATTGCGATGAACTTTTTAAGATTCGGCATACATAGTTTTATGAATTGAATATCGTATTCTCCGAGTCCGGCACCAATACTAAGACAACTTTCGGCATGCTCTAAATTCAGTTCAGATTTTTTCTCAACCATTAGTGAATACAAAACATCGCTTTCATTGCGACGCTTCCGAAAGTTTTTTAACAGTTCTGGGTATGCTTTCCCTACTTCATAATCAGCCATCGGAAAATAGTCTAAATCAAATATTTTTTTTGTCATAAACATAAGTTATATTAAACATGTATTATATTAAGTCTGACCAACAATCTATTTTTGTCAATATCTTTCTGTAGAAGAGAATTAAAAAGTATATGTTATTATATTACAAAAGTTTTATTTGACTTTTAAATTATATTTGCAGACAATCCCAGCCTGCAACAAAGACGTCAATTAGACGTCTTTTTAGCGTCTCAGACGTCTTGAGATATCTAAGATAAAAATGAGACATCTAAAAGATGCTTTAAATATGATCAAATATTAAATGTCTTTTTTCAAACATTTGTCAGACACACTAGAGACATCTAATTTTATGCAAATTTTCAAAACATTTAAAAGACGCTTAAAAGATGATCAAATAATGTCTTTTTTCAGACATCTATTAGACGCATTATAGATATCTAGTTTTTATGTAAATTCTTGAGGCATCTAAACGATGCTTTAAAGATAATCAAATATAAGAAGTTTTTTTCAGATATCTATTAGATGCAGTTGAGTCATCTAATTTTTATGCGAATTCTTGAGATATCATATAAAAGTGAGACATCTTAATGACGTCTTAAAGACGTCTTAAAGACAATCACGTACTAGTTGTTTTAATTTAGACGTTTAATTTAGACGTTTAATTTAGACGTTTAATTTAGACGTTTAATTTAGACGTTTAATTTAGACTTTTAATTTAGACGTTTAATTTAAACGTTTAATTTAGACGTTTAATTTAGGCGTAAAAGTTTTGTAAAAGTACGTAAAAGTTTTGTAAAAGACGTAAAAGTTTAGTAAAAGTTTTGCATGCATTTAAATAAAACTAAATCAAAAAGTTTTTATATACGTTTAACAATTTAAACGTTTTTTCTTATAATAAGAATAAGCTGACTGAAAGAACTACAATCTTCTTGGAGTTTTAATCTTAAAGATTAACATCAAATGTTTCTTTTTAAATGTGCCCAGATAATATTATTTGATGTTTCTTTTATTATTATTAATATTTATATTATTATTGTTATTATTACTTTTTTTACACGAAAACATACGCACATTTTGCTGACAGGATAGAATTTTTTTTTAATTTCACATTATTGTAGCTTAATACTCACACCTCTTATTAGATCTTGATGCAATGCAAAAAATTATAACTTAACTATAGGTATAGACGTCTGTAAAACGTTCACATGACGTTTAATAAACGTCTTACGTCTGTAGGACGTCCGTAAGACGTCTAGGTGTCCGCTAGGTATTGCATCTTGTAAATTAAATTTTTTTTTACAATAAATAATAATAATAAATAATAATAAAGTAAAAAATTACACTTTGCAAAAGTAAAGATTACTTGTCTCAATAAATTTTATTTATATATATCATTAATATAAATTTATTTATTTATTACATATTTAGATTCATTATTTTGATAGTTTTAAGATTATTTTACAACAAGTTACCGCTGAAAACCATTTTTACTTGCGTCAATTGAATTGCGTCAATATTTTTTACAGTTGATTTAAAAATAAAACTTATATTTAATTTTAAAAATTTTAATTTAATTTCATAATTTTTATTTACATATTTTAAAATAAAATGTTTAATACAATATAATTTAAAATAAATTAAAAATAAATAATATACTTACACAGTGAACTCTTAAAGGTTCTAATGGTGAAAATACGCTGCAAAATCTTGTGGTAAAATATTTATAGTCCTTTTTGGACACTTAAATTAAGTAAATGTTTACACAAATGACGTTTGTGTGTCCCTAGGATTACAAATACACCCAACACAATTATTTGTTAAACGCAGTTTTTTGCAATGCACTTAATTCCTAAGTCATTTATGAGTGTTTTGTCAAATAATGGGCTAATTAGCGCGAAGGATTAAAAGTACTTTAAAAACTCGGCATCAAACCCCAAAAATGTAAATGGTATTATCTAAAACTAGACGAAAATTTATTTGAGGATTTGAAATTTTATTAAAAAACAGATTTAAAATTTATACCCATGTAAAATTTATTATTTTTATATTGAATTTATTAATTTTACGTGGTTATAGTTTTTGAACACCAAATCCTACATTTTCTTAAAAATTTGACTTTTAGAATAAATAGACAAAGCTGCTTTTAAAAAAAATGCATTTCAATTGTAGTTCTATTAAAGGAATTATCTTTTTTTTTTTTTTTAATTTCCATTCCCTTTACCTGCATACATTTTAACGCGCGATTTCAAGATAAAATTTTGAATCACTTGTTATTTTAGTCGAATTGGGCTAAAGGTTCTTATATAACATATGTATAAACATACAAAATTTGGAGTTTAGAACTTACCGGAACTTACTTAAGACAAATACCAAAAAATCCTAGATCCACCCCTGCACCTAACACTCTTAAATATTTATGCGGGTTACTTGCGTACTAACAAAAAATTTAAAAAAATTAATTAATAAAAACAAATACTATAGGCCGGGTGAATAAAATTAAACGATTGCTTTTACTCAGTGCTTGGTCAGCTTTACGTTAACAAATACTTTAATTATTTTGCTTAAATTTTTATGCATGTAAAGCTGACCAATTACAGAGTAAAAGCAATTGCTCATTTTTATTCACCCGGCTATTGATTATATTGATGTATTTTTATTATTTTTTTTTATTTTTGCCGTTTAATATTACAATAACTAAATATATTTTACAATTTTTTACATTAGTAACGACAGGACTTCTAGAAGATCATGAGGATCTTGTCATGAAGCCCTTTACAATATATGGGGTTAACTTTTAATAAAAATACAATGTCTGTAGTGAAATAATAATACACCTCTATGCAAAAATATTTAAAAACCAAGTTAAAATGTTAAAAAACTGTTTACTGATTTTGCATTAACCACTTCTCTTGGTAGTTTATTCCATATTTTTGCTATTCTGTTAGTAAAGAATGAGTGTCTTAAGTTGCACTTTGTTTTTTCGCGTTCAAACCTGACATCGTTTCCTCTCGATAATTGAAAATCATTTGGCTTGAAACCGTTTATAAAGTCCACATTTTCAATCTTGTTTAATAACTTATAAGTCTGGATCAAATCTCCACGAATTCTGCATTCATATAATCGGGTGAGGCCAAGAATCTCCAGTCTTTTCACGTATTTCATTTTTTCCAGAGTTGAATAGAGTCTCGTAGCCCTGTGTTGAACTTTTTCGAGCATTTCTATTTCTCTTTTAAGCTAAGGGGACCACACTGGACTGAATACGTGACGTTTGTTCGCCCATTAATTCAATTAATGGGCGAACAAACGTCACGTATAAGACTTTAAGAGTCTGCACATATAATAAAATATTTTTATAAACCTCATACTATATACTATATAAATCTATTAAAGGAAGTTCTGATGACTTTGCATCCTTTTAACAAAAAAAAAAATATAATAAATATAAATATTTACTATATTTATACTTATGTGTATTATATATATTTATGTGTATATATAAATAAATACATATGTATATTTGTATTTGTTTATACATATTTTTTTGATAAGATGTTTGCTATATCCTTTATCTCAAATAATATTGAAATATCTCAAATAATAATGCCGAAGTAAGAAGCATTAGCATTTGTGAGTTTTTTAACACGAGTTTTTTTTAAACAAACACAAACCGGAAAATAAAAAATTTATCAACCTTTTATTACTGAGTACTATTACTCTTGTACCAACAAGAAATCTTTAAAACTATACTTCAAAAGCAAATATTATTATTTTAAATTAAAATGCATAAACAACAATTTTACGGACGTCATACTATATATTACACAACTTTTATTTATTACACAAGTTTCTGTCAAACAGAGTTTTTAGAATTTGTTTTTGTCAAACAGTGACATTTATGACTTTTTTTCAAATCTGAATAAAAAACTTAAACAAATCCTCCATCTGGTTTAAGTGCAACAAATTAACCTTAAACGTCGAGAAAACAAAATGGATCTTGTTTTACTACTATGGATCCACAAAATGGATCTTGTTCAACAAAGATGCGCTTTTTACCAAAACATTTTATCTAAACTTTTTATAATAATTTTGAAATAAAAAAGAAGTCAGTTACAAAATATTGAAACTCTATGTTTTTATTAAATTAGCCAAAAGTATTGGAACCCTACATAAAATCAGATACTACTTGAGTAAAAAATAGTTAACTCAAGATGATTAATAGAGTTGAGTTACTCAACTCTATCAATCATTTATACATAGTTAAAAGAATTATGTAAATATTGTCTGAGGAAGTACCTCTAAATGTAAGTTACAACATTTTCAGAAACACGCATTACGTCTAACATTTAAAATGTAATTTCATAATCACAACATTTATTTAAAGATATTAAAGCATTAAATCTTTACAAACTCAATATTCATAACTTTGTTTTTAAACAAAAAGAAAAAAAAACTTTTTAAAAACAAAAAACGAGATTAATTTATTGAGTATATCTTCTATTTTTTAGAAAGAAGATAGGGGTATGGATGAAGTCTAATTGTTTTTTATGCAACAAAAAAGTTATACTAATGCTATTTTAATAAAATTGGTTATTACTACCATGAAATTTCTGTGATGCTATTAACTGTTTTTTCTCTTTTTTAGAAAATTTGAAAAAATAAATTAAAATTTTGTGCCAACACTGACATGTCACACGTTATTGTATGTAAAGATTAAATTTTTGTTATGAGAGTTACAGTTCTTATGAAAAAAAAAAAAGTAAAAAGTATTGTTTGTATATATATATTTATATTTTGTTTACTTTGACTCTTTTTAAATCTTTAAATTTTCTCATGCCATTTTTAAAATTTTTGTTTGCACAATTAATTTGCAAAAAGTTATATGTTTATTGTTTGCATTGCTTTTTTGATAATTATGTGTATATTGTAAAATGTGCTTTATTGCTGTTTTATCAATGTGTTTTTATAATAATGTAACATATTTTTTTATTGTTTGTATATGTGTTAATATGTGTAATATAATTGTTTTATAAATGTGTTTAAATATGTGTATATAAGGTTAAATATATATATATATACATATATATATATATATATATATATATATATATATATATATATATATATATATATATATATATATATAAATATATATATATATATATATATATATATATATATATATATATATATATATATATATATATATATATATATATATATATATATATATATTGTATTTATAGTTGGTTTATATTTTTATATTATGTTATTTATATTTTAAAAGTGCTGTGACTTGGTAAACGTGTAAAGCAAGATTTGTCAACCTTGTCAGCCAAGTCATGTACTTACTGCACAGGGTTACACAGCAGTGTTTTCAAGCCTTTACACAGCAATGTTTTCAAGCCTTTATTAATAATTACTCTAAAAATACATAATAATGTATTTTAATAACATTTTGCGTAATGTTGTTACTTATATTCAGTTTTATATGAATGTTATGTTTCTTAAGTTATGTTATATGCATATTATATGAACTCATGGTGAATGCTATTGTTGTTGTCTATTATTAAAAAAGATACATAGGTAATTTTATTATTAGACCTCTCTGCTTTTAATCATTCACTAAAAGCCTACTACTCTGTATTATATATATTCACTAAAAGTCTATACTACTACTACTCTGGTAAATCACATCAGCTTTACTCTATCAGGTACAATGATTTCTTTTTTTTGTATGTAATATTTTTCTTATTTACTTATTTGTTACATTTTTTATTTTAGATTTATTAACTGATGTATTTATGTGGTATAGAAGAACAATATATTGTTAAGTTTTGTGAATTTTTTAAAAATGTTAACTAATATATTTTTCAAAGAAATAATATTGAAGTTTGCTAAAAAGGGTTTTACAACGTTTTTTTTTTAATTTTTCTATATTAGGAGTTTTTATCTTATTATTTTTAATGCAAATACCTATTTATTATTATATTATTTTTTATTTCTTTAGATCTAAATTAGCACCCAGGACCTTTTTCTGAGAGGTCCTTTAACAAATAGTGAAGTAATAATGGTATAGATGAGCCCTCTTTCAAATGGAGGGCTCATTCATACAGGGGTGCTGGGAGACACCAAAAAACAAACAGTAACAAAAGGGTTATAAACAACTCCTATCAGTTATGATATATATAACTTTTTTGTTGCTGCTTTTTCTTCTGTGAATTTTTTTTTTATTTTTGTAATTTTTTTTTTTATATTGTAATTTTAGCGAGTGCAATATATTGTTAAAAATAATATATTGCACTCGCTGCTTTTAAAATTTACTATAAGCCAAGACAATATATTTAGCTATATAAATGCAATTAATTTATATCTCAATTTGTTTTTTTATCTTAAATGTTTATAGTTTAGCCCCTTAAAGCATTTTATTTTGCTCTTAATTTAAATATTTTAAATATATTGTGATATCTTCTAAATTAAACTAAAGTTTACTGAAAGCCAACATTAAATAACGTCATTAAACAACACAGGCAAGAACTACTGCATCATGACAGCAACTGAAGTATGATAACAGGTTACCAAAAGCAGGTAAATTGTTTTCCAGTCATTTTTTTCTCCCTTTTTTATTCCTACTTTTTTTTATGCCTACCTATCTGTTACAATTTTTATTTTAGGTTTCTCGTATGACGCAATATAAAAGATCAAAGTTAACTTTTTTTTTTTAATTTGTTATACACATGTTTGATTGTAAATTATTATATATTTTTTTGAAACGTATTTGTACTCAATTGCTTAGATATTTATAATAAACTTAGTTATTTATAATAAATTTATTTAGTTGTGTGCATTTAACGTTTTTAAGATAACAATTTTTTCTTTTCTAAAGAAAAGTTTATCCTGTAGAGGGGATACCAAAAGTTAAGAACTCCTGTATAATATAAGTTAACTTCATGTTAATCTTAATAATTAATTAAGGTTCATGTTATAAAAAATATTACAAGGACTTAGTTGATATTTTCGTCAATTTAAAGAATGGTGAAGTGTTATTATTTTGTGTTGAACTTAGGGATGTTGATAAAAATGGCTCTGCCTAACACTGATATGACCATTGTCAGTTGAAAATTACTCCAGTAATGTGTTAAATAATAATTGGTAAATTATTTTACCTCCTCATACTTATTATGTTAGTTTTACCGATAGATTAATTTTTTTCAATTTAAAGACGTTTTTCTAAAAGGGTATTAGTTGAGAATTTGCAACTTTAAAATGTGGAAAACAGCCACTATAAATTAATTATTTAACAGACCGACCATAACCCGAATTACGGGTTACTTTTTGCTAGTATATATAAACACACAAACAGACACATACACATATATATATGTGTGTGTGTGTGTGTGCTTATATATATATATATATATATATATATATATATATATATATATATATATATATATATATATATATATATATATATATATATATATATATACATATATATATATATATTTATATATTTATATATATATATTTATATATATATATATATATATATATATATATATATATATATATACATATATATATATATATATTTATATATTTATATGTATATATTTATATATATATATATATATATATAATATATATATATCTAATATATATATATATATATATATATATATATATATATATACATATATATATATATATATATATATATATATATATATATATATATATATATATATATATATATATGTATATATATACATATATATATATATATATTTATATATTTATATATATATATATATATATATATATATATATATATATATATATATATATATATATATATATATCTAATATATATATATCTAATATATATATATATATATATATATATATATATATATATATATATATATATATATATATATATATATATATATATATATATATATATATATATATATATATATATATATATATATATATATATATATATATATATATATATATATATATATATATATATATATATGTATATATATATATATATATATATATATATATATATATATATATATATATATATATATATATATATATATATATATATATATATATATATATATATATTAGAGATGTGACTTTTTGGTACCTCTAGTTTCCAATATAAAAAACAGATGAACTTTGGTTTGAAAGTAACTGAAAAGTCATTGATTTTATTTAATTTTTGAAAAAGGTTACCCATCATGACCCTTAAATAAACACTGGCTCCCATAAATCTGTAATTTTTTTTAAAAAGTATATCAACCTGGGTCTCAAAAGAACCAGAATTTTATAGAGATTTCAGAAATGATAATGGTTTCAAATAAAAAAAAATAGCTTAAAATTTATAAACAAAAAATAACAGTTTTTAACTAAAAGCTGAAAAGGTCTATTTTTATGATATTTTGTTTGCAATAATTTCTTTAAAAATGTTTTAGTAGAAAAGATTATGAATTTTGAAACACTATAAAATTCTGGTTCTTTTAAGACCCAGGTTGACCTTTTTCAAAAATTTAATAAAACCAATGGCTTTTCAGTTACTTTCAAACCAAAGTTCATCTGTTTTTTTATATTGGAAACTAGAGATACCAAAAATTTACCGAAAAGTCACATCTCAAATGTATATAGGGTAGATTAGGGTGAATATGAGCATACGAAAAGATTTCTAAAATATAAGCAGTGAAGTTAAAGTTGCTTTGTATTTTTTAATCAACTTTATGTGGTGATAACAAGAATCAGTATAACCAGCTTAAATTTATATACAGTAATAAGCGGCTATCGTTTAATTAAAACGCTGTTAAATTTTTTGCGTTGTTAAAAGAATATTACCACGCATGAATAAATCTATGGCGCAAAATTTTGATGCTAAAATAATGAAATTAATTTTTTCATAAAGAAAATTATGTTAGCTAGAAATCTGTTTCATTTTCGTTTGAAAAACAATTAATGCATAGAAACAATTAGTTTTGACGTTACTTAAAGATATCATTTTTGTGTAATATAAGCATGCTTAAATTACCGAGTATTATTCATTAAACTAGGTTATTTCACCTAGTTTAAAACCTTGCAAAATTGCAGAGGCTTCCAATGCAAAGTAAAATTTTTTAATATTTTAACAATACTTAATATCATTCTGCAATTTAGACTCAAAAAATTTACAATTTTTTTTTGTATAAACCTAGTGGACACGGGCGTAAAAAAGACGTCTTTTAAACGTCTTATACACGTTTTGAACGTCTTTTGAACGTTTTTTAAACGTTTTGGACGTCTTTTGAACGTTCAAAAGACGTCTTTTTTTGTTCCGGTGCCCACTGGGAAGGTTTGAATTAATAAAATTTTAAAAATAACGAACAAATTTTTTTTTTTTCGCGTAAAACAAAGTACTATTGTTTCAATAAAAAGTAGATCTTTTAATAATAATTTTTGTTAATAACGATTCATAATATTTTAAAAATTATTTCCAACTGTCAGATTGGTGTTTTTTTACTTATTTAATTTATTTTTTTGAGTTAATTTAAAGTGCTCATATTACCAAGTAGTCTGGGTTATATAAGCACTTTTGCTACATTTTAAAAACTTGTGTGTTTTAAAAAAATATTTCTTGTGCCCAAATATCTAAGTGAATCATAAGTAGAAATCCTTAAAAATTATTTATACGCAATTTTTTTTTTAATCAAGCATCATTGTTTTTGAAAATATTCCAGCTTTTATATATATAGTGCCGTGCACAGAATTAGAAAAACGAAACATACTTCGATTTGGGGGCTCAACATCCCTCTCCCTCCTACTCCAAAATTTTTGTGATTTTATTACTGATATATAAGTATAATTAAATAGACCAGCTATTGCTTCTTAAAATGTTATTTTTCTTGTTTTGCAAATTTTTTAACCACATCATGAAAATGAAGATTTCGTGAAAGTCAATTTAGGCAAGAGATTTCTTTTTAAAGTTAGCAATATTAATTTGTTTTATGTGAAATAATTTTTCAATCAGTACATTTTCGGTAGTCTTCAAAACAAGGCCAATCTCTTTTTGATTCTCCATTAGGCATTCTGCTTTTCAAAACAGATATTGGAAATGTGTGATTTCCGTTAACTTTTGGCAATATCCAGTGGAAAGAAAATGTGATCAGCCCAGAAAAATATTTCCAGTTAAAATATTTCAGTTTCAAGTTCACTAATGTTAAATAACAGCAGCAAAGTTGGTCCAATGGTGCTAGTGGTCTTTGTAGATGTATTATCACTACCACCAATATGCCTATCTTTAAAAGTGGCTATTGTACCATTACTGCCACTGTCAGCACTATTACTAGAAACGAAAGATTATATGCTGTTTTCATCTTTTTGTTGCATTGAGCTAGTCGAGGTGGAAGCATCTGATTTCTTGGGAGTAGCTGTAATTCCAACACCAAATAATGTTTGCTTCCCATTTTGTAGGGCCGCTTCTCTTGCTTTGCTAATTTTTAACTAAAATGCTCCTGATTGATATACGTGTTTTATTTTTATTGATTTCAGATACTTTTGTATATATATATATATATATATATATATATATATATATATATATATATATATATATATATATATATATATATATATATTATCCTATATATATATATATATATATATATATATATATATATATATATATATATATATATATATATATATATATATATATATATATATATATATATATATGTATATATATAGACACACACACACACATACACACACACACATATATAGGGGAGAGTTGCTTTAATTGGAACATTTAAGGAATATTATATTTATTAACCAAAAATAGCTTAACTATGAAAACATTTATGATTTGAATAATACAAACAGACATCCTTACTATACTTTTAACCACAATTTGACTTAATTGATTGCACTGTTATTGGAAATAAACTTGTTTTTGCAAAAGTACTATTTTGTTCCAATCAAGGCAATCAAGGCAACTGGTTCCCTGGCAACTCGTTCCCTAAATTGGAACACTTTGATTCCTTCATCAGAACAGATTATTTATTTTTTTTAAAAATCCAGTAAAATCAACAAAAATTTGCAAAAAATGATTTTCATCTTTACAGTGAAAATTTAAACAGTTAATTCAAAACTTATTATAGGATTAGTATTACTGTGATAAATTTAAAGTCTACAAGCAAAAAATTGTATAAATCTTTAACAGTTCTCTAAATTTATTAATTAATAATCACTAAATAAATTATTATTTTTAAGGTTTATGATTGTTACTAAGTATTTTTTTAATTGCACTCGAACATTCCAATCAAGGAAACTTTCGACTATTTTGTTATATTACTACAATAACATGCTTGCAGCAACTTATAAGATAAGTTTATATTATTATTTTGCATTTCAAATCCCATCGAATTATACACAATAAACGGTATAACCTGTAACACCATAGTTTACCCGCAATTAATATAGTGTGAACACAAAATTAGATCGCTGAAAAAAATGACGCAAAAAAACTTTAAATCAATGGTGCAAACGCATTTTTTAAGGAATAACTTTCAAAATGTGTCAAAACGTAGAAAATAATGCGTTTTACTAAAAAAAATACAAAATATAGCCATAATTCATTTTTTTTCAAAAATAAATGCTAGTGTTTCAATTAAGGCGCTGTTCCAATTTCGGCAACTCCCCCCTATATATATAAGCTAAGATAAGTAAAATAAATTAATTAGTTAAATAAAAACAAATGCTTAAGATTTTTTCAAATACAGCCAAATCATTAATATAATTATATCA